CTTTTATGTGGCACCTTGTCAAATGCTTTCTGAAAATCCAGATACACCAAATCTACACCCTTACTATCACTTATATAAGAATGTTAAAAAATCTGTAAGGCAAGATTTTCCCTTAGTGTAACCATGTTGACTATCCAATAAAATTCTAAACTTTGTTAAATGACTTTGAAAAGCAGCTTTCAACAGACTTTCCCAAACGTTTCCCACAATTGGTGTAAGACTAATGGGTCTATAATTACTGGACAATTTTTATCCCCTCCCTTGAAAAGAGGAGTTACATTAGCTAACTTCCAATCTTCTGGTACCTGCCCACTATTCAAGAACTGACAAAAAATAGTAGTAAGTGGCTCACATATCCAATCTTTAACCTCCTTCAAAACCCTTTTTTAAACCTCCCAATTTTTTCTTAACCAGCTTAGAATTAATGCAGTCATCTTGTTTGATCTCATTTCTATTTATCAAATGTTCAAGATGTGGAACACTGCTTAAATAATGCTTGGAGATGGGTTGAATGGGTAATGAAGAAAAACTTTAATATAAGTTTAACCTAACAGCAAATGTACAACATTTCAACAAGGTTTTGTCATTCTCAGGTACAAGTAGTTTACTGATACTGATATATATATATACAGTATAGAACAAAGAGGTCACATAACCGGATATTGTTGCATGACTTAGAAGAGATATCTTGGCATCCCAGGGTGTTGGTTTAGAGTAGGGTTGTTTTATTTAATTAAGATGGATTCCTTGACTTTTCGTTTATTTATGTTTGCTTCTTTGTTTAAAATTAGTGTGTTGTTAATAGATATACTATGGTTTTTTGAGTTGCAATTGTGGAAAACATGGGATGGTTTTTCATTATGTTCTGTGAATCTGATTTCCAATTTTCTTCCTGTTTCTCCGATGTAAATTTTTTGTGTTTAATGGCTAGTTTTGTTCAAGTGTGGATTATTCTTGAGCTGGTTTCAGAGACAAAAGATAAATTGCAGTGCAATGTTCTGTTGTTGGGTTTGTTGTATCACTTTTGTTTGGGAGTTGAGTTTTGTTGTGGTGAATGTTGGAGAATTTTTCAAAAATAGCTGGTGGAAATTCATTGGTATGAATGAAGGAATGCTTCATGTGGTTGATTTCTTCATCTATGTAGTCCAATAAACAGAGTCTTGTGGCTGTGTTTATGAGGTTTTTCTGTGTATTGATTTTTTGTGTGGTGTCATGAGCAGAATTCCAGGGGATGTAGGGGCTGGTGTGTGTTCTTATGGTGAATTTTAGTTTTAAACTTTGTGTTCGATCTAATAATGTTGAGGTTAAGAAAAGGTAACTGTTTATTGTTTTTGTGTTCTATGGTAAATTTGATGTTGGGATGAATGGAGTTTGTGTTCAAAGAAAGTTAGTGTGCATTATGTAAAAGTGAAACCAGCAAAAGTGTCATAAACATATCTGTACCAGTATAGTGGGGGATGAAGCACAGAATGTATGGCTTGTGTTTTGATCTGGGCAATGAATATATTGGCAAGAATGGGTGAAACAGGACTGCCCATACTTAAACCATCTATTTGAAGGAAATGTTCATTGTTGAAAATGAAGTTGGTTTTAGTTGTTGTAAATTATAAGATAGAAGCAAAAAGTGTGCTGGGGATGTGGATTACCTTGTTGAGGTCATTAATGTAGAGGTCGAGTGTGATATTGCAAGCTTCATTGGCAGGTACTTGAGTGAAGAGTGACACGACATCAAAACTAGCCAATAAGGCTTTAGAATTTAGTTGGTCTAGTGTGCATTTTAAATTGAAGGCATCTTTAAAAAATTAACCTGCAGATGATGTGAGAGCACAGACTATGTATTTGCCAAGTATATGGCAAAGTATAAGTATATTTGCATATTTAGACAGTATAGATCATAGGGGCAGTCCTGTTTGTGTGGTTTAGGAATGCCATAGAGTTGTGGTGTGCATGAATCAGTTTTATGTAGATAAAAATAAAGATTGTCAGTAATCAAATTATCTTTTTTTTTCATTTGTAATAAAGTTCTGTTTAGTTGTTTTTCGTGTGTGTTTTAGTTGTTTTTCTTCATTACCCATTAAAGTCATCTCCAAACATTATTAGTCTCAAAGTGAGTTCCTCATCATCAAATTTGAATAGTGCTTAAATCTTCATTAGTAAAAACCAAAGAAAAAGCTAAATTTAATAACCCAGCCATCTCATAATCATCAGACACTAGCCTTCCTTTATCATCCCTCAAGGGTCATACCCCCCATCCTTAAAGAAATCTTTACTGTTAATTTTTACAATTTCAGCCAACCTTTTCTCATACATCCTTTTAGAAGTCCTAATTTCCTGTTTCACCAACTTTCTTGACCTTCTATAATCTTTTAAATCTCCTGTCATACCAGTCAATTTAAATTTGTTAAATTTATGATGCTTTTCTTTAATTCTATCGCTTAAACTCTTTGTGAGCCAACCTGGTTTTTACTTGTAGCTACTTTTTCTTTCTATAAGGAATATGTTTACCTTGAATATTTAAAAATTTATCTTTAAAAATTTCTACATCTGATCAATATCTCCAAATAATTCAGCTGCCCAATTCACAACAGATAATTCTTGTCGCATCCCTTCAAAATTAAATTTGCATTTTTGAAATTTGTAACCAAAATATTATTATTTCTTATCATCGAACCTAATAGAGCAATGATCACTTGCACCCAGATGTTCCCCAATTTCCACCCTCTCAATCATTTCTGTATTTGAAATTAACAATAAGTGTAAAATAGCATTGTTTCTAGCTGGTTCCTTGACTAACTGGTGAAGAAAGCCTTCTTGAACAGTTTCCAAAAACCTTTCTCCCTCATGGTTTG